TTCAAGAATCACTGGACTATCTGCAAGACACAAACAAACAAAAAAGAGCCTAGACATCAATAGGTCAAGAAATCATAAAACTGTCTAGATATCTTAGAACCAGAGGCAAAAGTAGAAATTGAAAGAATCTGTTGGCATCTTTTAAAACACCAAAATGAAAACTCCCAGGAATATTGTAGCCAAAATCCAGATTGCCCAGGGCAAAGGAAAAATACTGCGAACAGCCAGAAAGAAAAAGTCCAAGTACCACAGAGACAGTCAGGATCACACAAAATTTAGCAACCACCAGTGTAATGAAGTGAAGTGTTTGAAAGTTTGTTTTCTAGAAGGCAAAGGATGTAGACTTATAACCAAGAATAACTTACCTAGGAAAACTGAGTATAATCCTACAGGGGAAAAAATGGATCATTAATGAAATAGATGACTTTCCAGTGTTCCTGATAAGAAGATCAGAATTGAGTAGAAAATCTGACACAAGACTGAAGAGAAGCAGCATATAAAAAGGTAAACTTGAATGAAAAACCTTAAAGGAATAAATAAGGTTAAATTTTTCATATTCTTATATGGAGAGATGATGCATATAACTCCTCAGAACTTTATCATCACCAGGGCACTTAGAAGGGGTCTATTAAGACAGAGGACCTGGGTATGTTTCTATTATGCTGGGATGATATCAAAAGAAGAATGGAAAGTAGGGTAACTGGAATGTGGTGGGAGATAAGAGGAGAGAAAAATAGAGAAAATTATTTCACATAAGTGTGGTGCACAAGAGAGAGTTTATATAATGGAAAGGATAGTGGAAGGGTGGGGGGAAGCCAGTGATATTTTAACCTCACTCTAATATGAACTGGTTGAAGGAGGGAAGAATACACACACACACACACACACACACACACACACACACACACACAACATACACGTATCCCTGAAATTTATCATACCAAACAGGGAAGTAGGAAGGAAAGGGCTTAAGGGAAAGGGTGGAGAGGGGATTAAAACAGACGGCAAATTAAGGGAGGCAGTAGTCAGAAGCAAAAGAGCCTGTTAAAGAGGGGATGGGGAAAAAAGTGAAGGAAAAGTATAAGAGAATACAATGGAGGGAAATTCAATATTATAACTGTGAATGTGAATGGGATGAACTCATTGATAAAATGAAAGAGGATAGCAGAATGCATCAGAAACCAGAATCCAACAATACATTTTGTTTATAAGACACATATTTGGAACAGAAGGATATACATAAAGTTAAAGTATGGGACTGGAGCAGAATCTATTTTGCTTCAGTTGAATTAAAAAGGCAAGGTTAGCAACCAAGATTTCAGACAAAGCAAAAACAAAAATAGACTGAATTAAATGAGATGAACAGGGAAACTACATTTTGCTAAAAGGTACCATAGACAATGAATTTAAAATATCAATATTGAACAGATAATCACCAAATAGCATAGTATCTAAATTATTATTATTATTATTATTTGGTGAGGCAATCAGAGTTAAGTGATTTGCCCAGAGTCACACAGCTAGTAAGTGTTATGTTTCTGAGGCTGGATTTGAACTTAGATCCTCCTGACTCCTGGACCAGTGCTCTATCCACTGTGCCACCTAGCTGCTCTAAATTCTTAAAGGAGGTTTGGGAGGAAAAAGACAGTAAAACTATAATAGTAGTGGACTTCAATTTATCCCTCCCAGATCTAGATAAATATAACCATAAAATAAGAAGGAAGTTAAGGAGATGAGTAGAATTTTAGTAAAGTTAGATATGATAGACCTCTAGAGACAACTGATAGAAAGGAATATATTTGTTTCTCAGCTGTGCATGGCATCTCCACAAAAACTGACCACGTATTAAGTGTATAAAAACCTCCAAAGAAAAAAAAAGGGAAAGATCAGATCAATGAATTGGGTATATAATTTAAAAAAAACTCTAGAAAACCAACAAATTTTGAAAAAAAAATCAAAATAAAAATCCTGAAAAAAATCAAACAAGAGACGAACAAAATTGAAAGTTAAAAAAGCCCACTCAACTAGTAAATAAAACTAGGAGCTGGTTTCTTAGGGGGAAAAACACAATAAAATAGAGAAGTTAATCTGATTTTTTTAAAAGCAGAAAAATAAATTACCACTATCAAAAATAAAAAAATGTGAATTGTGAGTTTACATACAAGAATAAAAACAATTATTAAGAGCTATTTTGCCCAAATACATGCCCCAAACCCAACAATCTAAATGAAATGGATAAATATTTACAAGAATATGTTTCCAGATTAGCATAAAAACAGTATTTAAATAGCCATATCTTAAAAAAAGAAATTGAACAAGGTACAAATGAGCTCCCAAAGGGAGAAAAACTAAGGATCAGATGGATTTACAATCAAATTCTATGAAACATTTAAAGAACAACTAATTTCAATGCTATATAAACTGAAAAAAATAAATAAAAAAGGAGTCTTACCAAGTTTCTTTTATTACAAAAAATATGATCTTGATACTTAAACCAGGGAGGGTCAAAACAGAGAAAAAAATGATAGAGACTAATTTCCTTAATGAATATTTATGAAAAAAATTTAAATAAAATATTAACAAGGAGATTACAGCATTATATCACAAAAATCACATATTATGACTAGGTTGGATTTGTACCAGGAATTCAGGACTGGTTCAATATTAGGAAAACTATAAGCATAGGCCATATTAATGACAAAAATAACAAAAATCATAGGATAACTTCAATAGATGCAGGAAAAACTTTTGACAAAGTGTGACATCCATTCCTGTTAAAAAAAAACACTAGAAAGAGCAGGAATAAAATGGAGCTTTCCCTAAAATGACAAATAGTATCTATCTAAAGCCAAGAGAAATCATTATCTGTAATGAAGATAAGCTAGAAGCCTTTCCAATAAGATCAGGGGTGAAGCAAGGATTCCCATTATCAACATTACTATTCAATATTGTACTAAAAATGTTAGCTATAATAATAAGCTAAAAATAATCATAAAGATGAAACAAAACTATAACTTTTTTTTGCAGATGATATGACAAGATACTTAAAGAACCCTAGAGAACCAGCCAACAAACTAATTGGTGAAATGAACAACTGTAGCAAATTTGCAGAACATAAAACAAACCCACACAAATCACCACAATTTCCATATATTACCAACAAACTCAACAGGAAGAGAGAAGGAGAAATTCTATTTAAAATAACTGAAGACAGTATAAAATATTTGGGAATCTACTTGCAAAGACACACAGGCACTGTAGAAACATAATTATAAAACACTTCATGCAAATAGAGACAACTGTAAATAATTGAAGAAATAATAACTGCTCATGGGAAGGCCAAACCAATATAATAAAAATGACAATGCTCTCTAAATACACCTAAATGAATTTACTTATTCAGTGCCATACCAATGAAACTACCAAAGAATTAACTTGTAGAACTAGAAAAAAAAATTATAGCAAAACTCATCTGGAGAAAAAAAAAGGTCAAGACTAATCAAGGAAATCTGTGGGAAAAAAAATGCAAGGAAAAGTATCCTAAAAGTATGAGATCTAAAACGATACTACAAAAGGGTAATCATTCAAACAATTTGGTATTAGATGAAAAATAGAATGATAGATCAGTGGAACAGATTAGGCCCATAATATATAGAAACAAATGAACACAAAACCTAGTATTTGACAAACACAAAGGTTGCAACTACTGGGGCAAGAACTTGCCATTTAACAAAAACACCATTTAGCAAAAATATTTGGCAGAAATTAGGCAATAGACCAACATCTCACACTACCTATCAAGTCAAGCTCCAAATAGGTACATGATATAGACATAAAAGGTGACATCATGAGCATGTAAAAATTAACCTGTCAGATTTATGGATAAAGGAAGAGTTGGTGACCAAACAAGAGATAGAGAGGATCATGGAAAGTAGAATAGATAGTTTTGATAATGTAAAATTATTATTTTTTACCCTAATAAAACCAAATGCAGTCAAAATTAGAAGAAAAGCAGGAAATGGAAATTATTTGCAGTTAGTTTCTCTGATACAGGTTTCATTTCTAGAATATGTAGGGAACTGAGACAAATTTATGAAAATAAGAATCATTCTCTAATTGATAAAGTCAAAAGATATGAAAAGGCAGTTTTCAGTGATTCCTCCAAGCTATTACTAATCTTATGAAAATATGCTCCAAAATCACTGAGAATTAGAGAAATGTCTGTTAAAACAATTCTCTCATGCCTATCATTTTCGCTAAGATGACAGAAAAGGAAAATGACAAATGCTGGAGGGGTGGGGGGAAATAGGTAGGCTAATGCACTGTATGGGTAGCCAGGTGACACCATAGTGCATAGAGTGCTGTGCCTGGAGTAAGGAAGACTAATTTTCCTGAGTTCAAATCTGGTCTCAGAAACTTACTAGCTGTGTGACCCTGGGTGAGTCACTCAACCTTTTTGCCTCAGTTTCCCCATCTGTAAAATAAGCTAAAAAAGGAAATGGCAAACCATTCCAGTATCTTTGCCTGACAGGGGCCTGAGGGCCCCAATCTCCCCCATGCAGCTGGAGGAGGCCCTTTCTGGGTTCTCTTGCCTCCTGGTTACTTGATCCAGATGTCAGCTCCCTGAAGGCAGATGCTGCCATTTTTGTTTCATGGCCCATGGAAGGTGGCCAATTAGTGCCTGTTGGGAGTCAACTGAACTGAAATGATAGACCTTTTCCACCAGGTGGCCCAGGGACTCAGAATGTTTCAGGAGCCCTCTGGCCCCATTTTCAGTGTCTGGGCTGAAATGTCCTCAGGGACTCCCTTCAGATGAGGAAGGATTTCTCCTGCATACATGACTTTGCCATTGAGGACCCTGTATATCAAGGTATTCTAGCTAAGGGACAGACTGGCACAGGAACATGGAGGAGGCTCCAAAGGCAGCTGTCCTTGGTTCTGGTCTCCCTTTTGCCCAGCATCTCTGGAACCCACATGGAAATCACAAGGTAACCACCTACCTGCTCATTGCTGACGGTGTCCAGCTTCTGACCTTCTTGACTGTGTTCTTTGTGGCCATTCACCATCACCATATTTTCACTCGGATCCTGTGGGCTTGTGGGACTCAGTAGATACCTTTCTTCACCAGGATTTATTCTTAAGCTCAGTTTGTTCAGAGGCAACAGTGCATTTTTGCTCAGTCCTCCTGAGGTCTCGGCATTGTTGGCCACCTCTGTCACATCAGGAGTTTCTTCTCCAGGCCTAGGCCCAAATGTAGTGCTGTTCTCCCCATTACCACCACTGTTACCATCACTACCCCTGCCACTTCTTTGAGTGTTGGCAGCTTGATCCCGTGGTAGAGGCAGCGACTTCTCCCCATGAGGGTCAGTTGAGCGCTCAGACCTAAGTCGGTGCTTAGGCTGGGCCTTTATGGGGAAAGGACCATTTTTTCCGTCTGGGAAGATCTTTCTGTAGTCTAGGGGAAATAATTCAGATGCAGGCAGCTGACTTTTCCTAGCCAGAGACCCTCCACTTGTCAAAGACATGCAGAAGTTGTTGGATTCTGGGGCTTCCATTAGGAGCCGTGGGAAAGTCTGGATTTTTCTCAGGCGACTTTTTTTCAGAAGACCTCTGTCCAGGTCACTGTGGAAATACCCTGAATCTAAGAAGAAGTTGGCCAGTTTTTCCTTAAAGAAGCTTTCTTGATCATCCTTCTCCCCACTTGGTGGCCTTAGAGACAGGCTTCTGTGGGCCGCGGAGCTACTGTCCCCAACTTGTGAGTCCGGCACAGTGGATGCATCACTGTATGGCCTCTTCTCATCTGGTTGCGTTGTGGGTCCCATGCTTTTTGGGCCCACCCTCCCTCTCCACATGTTCTCATTCACATCTGGATGTGACAAAAAAAATTATGATGATGTTAGGCAGTAAGCCATTGCAACATAGACCAGTGTCACATGTCAGGGTATGGGAGGTCCAACCATAGACAATCAGTCACTCTTCTCCTTGGACCTGGCCCCAAGAAGTAACGATACACCTGGCTTCCCTGAATTCCTTTCTTACCCAAAGAGCTCTTCCCATGATTCAAACTTCTTGGGACCTCACCATTACCCTAGTCAGGGAGGCAGGGCAGTGGCTGCTGTCAATGGCCCCAGTGAGGGCACCAGCCTCTCTCTTACTGGTAAGTAAATGGATGTCTCTGCGAGGAGCTGAGAAGGCCACATCAGATCCTTCAGGGAACAGGAATATGACTTTCATGGAGGGGGGCTGTGTCTGGGGTGCAGTGCTTTGCTGAGATCAGCCTGAGATTTTGGGCAATGGGATTCCAGAGGGTTCTATATTATGTGGCCCTCAATAACCCCTTCTGAATTCTTCCTTCCTCTTGGGCATGACTACATCAGAGACTGAGAAACTCCAGAGGTTGCATGGCCTGAGTCTCCAATGCTCTGGATGCTGGGGCCTCCCACCCAAGTCCTCCTATTTAAAGACTCCTTGAGCTTCTCCTCTGGGGAGAGCTTGCCAGGAAGGCTGGGGCTGCCCCTTCTCCTCCACCTGCCTTCCCTATGGGCTTCTCCCCATATGAGGGGTCTTACAAAGGGCGTAGAGGACAAATGCTGGAAATTTCCTTTCCTATGTTCCTCTTGGGCCACTTTAGTGAGTTTTTTAAGGCTTTGGGAGAGCTGGGTGTGACTATAGGCAGTGAGGAGGGAAGGACCAGAAAGGGTCAGGAGGATGGTGGGGCAATCTGTTAGAGAAGGAAGGAGGGACCTTCTGGAGACAACAACCCCCAGAAGACTCTTTGGTGCCAAGAATCTTGGAGCAGGAAGGAAAAGAGGGAGACAGAGCAAATGGGAAAGAAGCTTGGACAAAGCAGCTCCATGACTATGTGTTGCCAATGGGGGCCTTGCTCCTCCTTTTCTAAGCTGCTTCCTCCTTCCTAGAAGGAGCACCAGGGAGCCAGAAGATAACATGGAAGAGGAGAATGAGGCAGCCTGGATTGGTGCAGTCAGTGACTTGCCCAAGGTCACACAGTCAGTGCCTGGTAGGGCCATAAGCAGAACTATGGGCTCTGCTCACCTTCTCTGCCCCAGCCACGGGGTCCACAAGGCCTTCCTCTTCAGGCCAGGGGACAAAAGTAGTGATACCAGAGCTGACATCCAGAGGCCTGCATCAGAGAGACTCCTCAGACTGACCTGCAAGCCCTAACTGCTCCAGGAAGGCTTTTCCAGTAGTCTCTGATATGCTCCCAAGGAACCAGGACATGTCTCCAGGGAAAAGCACCAATCCAACCCCTGAGCCCTACATCTGACATGTAAGACTCGCTTCTCAGCTTCCCAGCATGCTCCTGATTTCTCTAGTTCACAGATGGCAGCTCTTTTTAAAACAGGTATCTGGGGTGTTGTTTTTACCTTGAAAAGTCCCAAAGGATTCAATGGAAAGCACTCTTCTCCCGACTGCTGACAGGTCCCGACAGATCTCACAGGAAGAGGCCGCCTGCACTTTGCCTTCACATAAGGCAATGATGCTCTAGACACAAGGCAGAGACAAAAGAAATGTCTTCTGGCTTGCCTTCCCCATCACGCAACAAGAATGCTTTCTCTGACAAGAACCAGAGCAATGGCTGGACCATCCATACCAGGGGGCTTTCCTAGTGACCCACACCCTTACCAAAGCTATTTTACCCACAGCATGCCAACAACTCCTGGGAAGACTGGGAAGAACTGTTAGAGCAGGCTAGGTCAAGGACAGGCCAAACCTGGCTCCAGGTGGCTAGGACAAGGGCCTTTAGCCCCTCCTCAACAGCCTGCTGGTTTTGGGCAGGGCAAATACAGAATTCTTGCCAAGCCAAGCCCCAGCACTTATTTTGTATCAGTCTGATGTGAAGCAAGTCCATTGTGGGGAAGAGGAAAGAAAGGGCAGCCATTCTTAGATGTCAATAGGACTCTGGCAGGGAACCCCTGCTTCATCAGAGGGGCATCATCTTGATGTCACTCTGGTTAAGTGTGAGAGCATGAGGAAGGAAGCCATTTTCCACAAGCCCCTTTTTGGTATGAGCATCGTATCAGGTTTGAGATGAAGTTTGAGTTTCAGTGAGTAACCCAGGAAACGTGCTTGGATGAACCAGGTGACAAGAGCTCCCCAAACATCCAACCCTGCTGGTGGGGAGTGTGGGGATTCAGAGGCAGAGGCTAAGACGTCCTACACTGGATATCACTCCGGGTACTCAGGCAAAGTTTCCCAGAAAGGAACACGGGTTGTAACTCACTCAAATGAGGAGGGCTAAAGAGCATTGGGCATAGAACGAAGGCTTTGGGTGTCATCTGGTCCCTCGTTCATGACCGATCAGTGCATGCCAACTGTGGTAATTCCCAACCCACAATGGAGAGAAATGGTCAAAGGATATGAATGGACATTTTCAAAAGAAGAAACACAAATTGTTCCAACCACTCAACATTATTGTTCAACCTCACTATAGATCAAAGAGATGTTGCTGGACCACCTGATCTCCATCAAATTTGTGCAGATAATTAGAAATAATGAGATTCAGTGCTGACAGAATGTGGCAGGGCAGGCACAGCCCTCCACTCTGAAGAGAATTTTTTTTTTTGTAATCTGGCAATAATCAGTGATAGTTTTAAAACCAATCATATCATTTGACCCAATCATTCCATTGTTGGGAACATACCCTGAAAATGTTATAAAAAAGGCTACCTGCTCACAGATTTTCATAGCAGCTTTATGGGGAATTGGAAAAACCTGGAAGCAACCTAAGCATCCACCAACAGGGCAACGGTGAAATAAACTGAGGCACACTCATATCATGGAGACTCTAAGACCAATAGGGCTGACAAGTGAAAGGCCTTTCTTTATGACCACCTGCCAAGGGAGAAGAACAGAAGCACAAGAAGGGACCTCCACAGGCTGGGAGGGAGGCCCTGAGGGGGCTCAAGGACTGGGTGCAAAGTGAGAGCCCTTCTAACTGGAAACAAACAAATCTCACTGGGACCAGAGGAAGGTGCATCAATGCCCACCTGGGGACCAGAGGCTGAATGGGTAGGGAGACATCTCTCTACGCACTCAGGGCTGTGCATGAGCCCACCCCGGGCCTTTACAAATGGACACTCAATGGCACTAGTTGTCAGGATGAGGGGATCTCTTTCTAACTAGTCCCTGGGAACACCTCAGCTGCCAGGATACACCCAGATCAGGTGTGGTCACAGGGCTGCCTCTCCAGGAGCAGGGTGGACCTGACCCAGAGCCACACACATTGACAGTCTCTGGGAAAGTGCCCCATTGTCCCTCACAATGAGATTTGTCACCACCATGTCTCAGGGACATCCTCTCTCCACCCCATGGGCACTGATCCCATTGGTGCACTCCTCTCAGAATCTCTATTTCAGGGAAGGGACCAGACGAGCCATGCCTCGTCCTCTGGACCTCGCCACTATGACCTGACTTAGATGCCTGCTCCCTCTCCCCTGCCCCCTTTTCCCATGACTGGGTTTTCCCCAGGACCTCCATTGTGGGGAAGGGCTCAGGCCAGCCGTCTCTTATGCTCTGAACTTTAACGGTGATGCCCTAGTAGGTATCTTCCTCCCTCCCTCCTCCACTCACCCCCTACCTCTTTTCAACTCCCCTTTTAGGTATTATTTCCCCCCACCCATTAAAGCACAAGCTTCTTGTGGGCAGGGACTTGCCTACCTTGGTACATCCAGGGCTTAGTCCAGTACTTGGCACAAAGCAAGCACCCCTTCGTAGGCTTGCTGACTGACTCCCCATGATAAGGTGGGCAGACACACACTCCTCCATTGATAGGGAAACCAATCACCTATCCCCCCTCCACTCACCTCAATATCAGGCCTGCTGCCAGGACTCTCCTCCTGCATCTGGTCCAGGAGGGCCTCCAGGTCCTTACAGAACTTTGGCTCTAGCTCGGGTTCAATCACATATTCAATGGCAGCTTTCAGGGTAGCCCCCAGAGAGTAGATGTGGGCCTGCAGAAAAGGCAAATGGTCTCATTCAGCAGGCTGTAAGTTAGTCTGCGGCCAGTCTTCAAAGGCAAAAATGAGCCTCTGGTACCTCTAAAGAAAATAAACAATTTGGAAAAACAAGAGTTTTCTAATGGGCCCATTAGGTCCATGATAACCATGAGCCACAGACCACTGTCCCAGCAAAGCCTGCCACAGAAGGCTTCTAGTCTGCTGTCAGCCCTGAGGGAAAGCCAAACATAAGATGTCAAGATCCCTGCTGAGTATCCTCTAGGCTTCAGCAGCCCAGAAGACCAGGGCTCCAACTATTACCACAACCTCCCGTTTGTAGTCGGGGCTTCTCAGACTGGAGGGATTCAGTGCTGCCCTGAGAGTCCATCACCACAGCCTTGTGGAGACTGAGGCATGCTGCCATGGTGGTTGTAGAGGCGAGGGAAGTTGGGCCCCACTGAGCAGATCAGCTTCGGGGACCATCATCTAAACTATTGCTGCTGAGGACACTTCCTTGTGTAAAAGGTGGCCTCCATGGTGTCATGTGGTTCCAATCCTGAGTTGGAACCACTGGATCTCCTGAGAAAGGCCTGACCTAGAACACTTGGCCACTCAATCAAAGTCATGAGGGACATGTATGCCTTGGTCCTGGAGGCAGATGTGGCAAAGAAAGAGGGACACTGGACTTCATGTCAGCTGCCTGAGGGCGTGAACCCAAGATCAAACCCTGAGCTGGTTTTCTCATCTGCCAAATGGGGATTATGACACAGATACCTTAGACCTCAGTGGGTTCTCACAAAGAAGCACAGTACAAATTCCAGAGTGCCATATGGAGATGGGTTAGCACCACCATGTCTTCAAGAACAATTCCTATTCAATCCACTGAGGCTTTGCTCTATCCATTAATGTTTTGCGCATTGGGGTCAAGAAGTGTTTTGAGGCATGTTCACGTGTTCCCATGATTTTAAAAATGGAACCCACCAGTATAATAAGTTTGGGTTCTTCTAAGTGAACTCATAAGGTGATGGGTCCTGGATGTCCAAGGGATATACCACCAGGCACCCACATGACTGACCCCAGGCTAGATAAGCTGCCACCAAACATCACTGACGGGGCCGGAAGAAGGAGGAAGGAGTTCTAGCCCCAGCTCCACTGCAAACTAGCCATGGGACCTTTAATCCATCCCTTCCCCTTTGCAATGGTTGGACTGGGGAGCCTCTCCCTGCCTTCCCAGATGAAAACATTGTTTTTAATTCTGTATATGCTGAGCTTGAAGTCTTCAACCACCCTGCAGCAGAGGCAGGGGCTCCTCAGCATGGCTTTTCCTTACCCAGAAGCACATTGCAGCCCATCCCATGTGATCCTCATCATCCCTCAAGATCTTCCCCTGCATTAAAAGAGATTGAAAAGCCCTCAGCTCTTAGACTGCTCAAGCCTACTGGGGAAGGCTGCCTTTCATTCCAGCTGTCAGGACTTTTAGCTCCTTCCAGCTGATCCATTAATGAGTTGTATCTCACAGAACCACCTCAATACTGAGAAGTGGGTATACTCAGGATGAAGCCTGTTCCCCTCATTTGTATAAAGCTGGGAAAAGCAAGTGCCCTGGCCATCCCAGGGCCCAAGGCAAAGTTGAGAGTGCCCCTGGAAGAAGGCTAGTAGAAATGGTCCCCAAAACAAACCCACCCATGAGAAAGGAAGCAACTTCCAAAGTCCCTTCCTTCTTCTCTTCTGCAAGAGTGAGCTGATGTTACTGTCCTCACACAGCACAGCCTGGTCTGTCTACCACAGTTAGCTTCACAGATATAGGCCATTCAAACCAACAAATAAGTAATCTGAATAACTCAGTGCAGGCAAACTGGCCCTCCATCCCTGTATCCATTCTGCCATCCCTCCATCCCTCCATATATCCACCCACCCAGATATCTATCCATCCATCCCTCCATTCATCCCTCCATTCATCCGTCCACCCAGATATCTATCCTTCCATCCCTCCATTCATCCCTCCATTCATCCGTCCACCCAGATATCTATCCATCCATTCCTCCATGTGGCTCATCCTCTTCTCTATACAACTTTTAAAGAAGAAAGTAAGAGAGCCAAATGCCACCATGTAGTTAACTCCCTGACAAAAAAGAAAGCTTTTCACAATGGGTAGTCAGACCCAGCCCAGATGTCTTTCTGCATTGAGAGAATTTACAGGGAGCCACCCCCCCAAAAAAAAAAGCGTTTTAAAGAGCACAAAGAGGGAAAGAAATTCTAGAAAGTGCCACTGGGGAGGAGGTGAAGAGGGTTGGGGGAGGAACAAAGGCAGCATAACTGCTTGTTTAGTGAGCCTAAAGACAGCCTGAAAGGGTGGTGTCCTGGGGATATACCAATGATTTGCAGCATAGTTCAGTGATGCTTCTGTAAAATGAGAGCAGGGGTAGGGGAAGAGGTTGGACAAAGTGGGAGACTGGTGCATCCAGCCACAGGATACTTTGTTTAAGGATTAACCTTTCCTGGTGGAAATTCCCAATGCTATCAGGGATGTGAGGGTAGGATGGGTCAAGGAATTTTACCTGGGACCCAGAAAAAAGGGAGAGTGGGGATACTTATAGCAAAAGAGGAGTGATTGGCCTTGTTTGCATAAAGAAGAGTAGTCATAAGCAGGATGGCCTAAAATTCAGGTCATCAGTCTTTTAGATACCGAATAACTTCATTTTTCGTATTTTAGAAAGAAGACACTTCTGGCATCTAAGAGCTAACCTAGGCCCTTTGAACTCCTTCTGCCCCAGCAGAAGGCCTGAGAAATGTTAGATGAGATCAGCTCAGAAGTATCTTCCAGTTCTGCCCCTCTCTCCTGGGCAAAGGAAAATGCCACCTTGCTCCTGGGACACACCTGATCCCAGGGTTTCTCATCCTGTGTTTAAAGAGTAGCCTGACAACTCATGCAAAGATGGCTCTGCAGCAGAGACAAGTGTCCTAGAGTAGTGGACAGAGAAAGACCTGAGTTCTAACTCAAACACTTACTAACTTTGCAAAACATCCAAAACAAAACTCATGATCTTTATCCCCTAGCTTACCCATCTAACTTGGGTTCAGGATGTAATCAGCCTCCCAGTCCTCCAGGCTCACAATCTTGGGGTCATCCTTGCCTCCCTTCTCTCTCACTTCTTATATCTAAGCTTTTGCCAAGCCCTGGTGATTTTACCTTTGCAGCATCTCTCCAATACAGCCTCTTCTCACCTCTGACCCTGCCCCCACCCTGGTGCAGCCCCTCATCACTCCACACCTGGACTATTGCAACAGTGCTGGGGTGGGAGGGCCTGCCTGCATCAAGTCTCTCTGATCCATTCTCCGCTCAGCCACCAAAGTGATTTTCCTACAGCACAAACCTGATTATGTCACTCCCATACTCAATAAACTCCAGTGGCTCCCTATCGCCTCTGGGCTAAAAGCCCAAATGCTCTGCCTGGCATCTGAAGCCCTCAGAACCTGCCCCTTCTGCCTCTCCAGGCTTCTTATACCATCCTCTCCAATGTGTTCTCTTTGATCCAGTGACACTGGCCTCCTGGTGGTTCCACTAACAAGACCTCCACCTCTCAGATCTGGGCATTTTCTCTGACTGTCCCCCAGGCCTGGAACATTCTTCCCACCTCATCTCCACCTCCCAGCTTTCTTTAAGTCTCAAATAAAATCTAACTTTCTACAGCAACCCCTCTGCATTCTAGTATCTTCCTTCTTTCAGTTATGGCCTATCCCATACATTGCTTCCTTATTTGTTTGCCTGTTTTCTCCCCTCATTAGATTGTAAGTTCCTTGAAGGCAGGTACTATCTTTTGCCTTTATTTGGATACCCAGTGAGTGGCAATAGTAGGTGCTTAATAAATGTGTATTGACTGACTGAGTAGTTATCTATTCATTCTGACCTATATCTACATGGCTGTTAATATGATCTTCCTAAAGTCAAAGTATAACAACATCACTCTCTTGATAAGTAACCCTCCCATGGCTCCCTATTACTTCTAGCATCAAATACAAACTCAGGTCCCCTCCTACCTTGCCAGCTTCATTACACATTGCACCCCTTCCTACAACTTGACAGCATGAGCAAGCTGGCCCCCTTCCCCTTCCCGGACATATGACTTTCCAACCTCGTACCTTTGCACTGGTGGTCCCCCATGCCTAGAATGCTCTCCCTCCTCACCAGTTAGGCTAAATCTGGAGTCAGAAAAGAGGTTATAACTGGATAAGTAGATTTGGGAATGATTAATATAGATTAACTAATTAATATACAGATCAATTAAAATAGAGTAGAGGTAACTGAACCTCTGGGAGCTGATGAGATCACCAAGTGAAAAAACATAGAGGGAGAGAGCCTTATGGGACACCCACAGTTAGTAGGTGTGGCCTGGATGAAGACCCAGCAAAGAGGACTGAGGAGTGGTCAACTTGGGGAGAACAAAGAGATGGTAGTATCCTGACAACTTAGAGAGAAGTGAGTGCCAAGAAGAGGGTGTTCAACAGAATCAAAGGGTACAGAGGGGCCAAGGAGAATAAGCTCTGAGAAAAGGCCATTGGATTTGGCAACTAAGAGATCACTGGTAACTTTGGAGAGAGTAGTGCTAGTTGAATGATTGAGGCCAGAATCCAGACAGTAGAAAGTTAAGAAGAGAGTGAAGGGAGAAGGGGTGGAGGCACTTACTGGAGATGGCCTTCTCAAGCCACAAAACAGAAGAAATGGGGGTAAGTGATGGTTCTTGCAGATGAAGGAAACATGGACATGTTTATAGACAACAGGGAAGCAGCCAGCAGAGAGGAAGAGACTGAAGACAAGTGGGAGTGGGGTGGAGGGGACAATCTGCTGGAGAAGATGGGCGGGAATGGGTTCACTTGTGCATGCAGAGGTTTGAGCCTTGGTAAGAAGGCCACCTCATTGTGTGAGATGGAGTCAAGGAAGAGAAGGGGCAGAAGGCATCTGAGTGATCTGAGATGAAGAGGAGGGACAAGGGGTAGTTCCCAATCAATGACCTCCA